CATTTTGTATAATATTTCATGAGTTCCTTGTTTTTCAGTGCAGCATAGTATTCCATTGTGTGAATATATCACACCTTCTCTATCCATTTTTTTGTTGATGGACATTTGGGTAGTTTCCAACTCTTTGCTATTGTGAACAAAGCAGCAGTAAACATGGTTGTGCATATATCTGCTTGGATAGCGGTTATGGTTTCTTTAGGGTATATTCCTCGTAGTGGAATTGCTGAGTCAAATGGTATTTTTATTTGCAACTTCTTGAGAAAGTGCCATACTGCCTTCAATACTGATTGCACCATTTCACACTGCCACCAACAGTGAATAAGGGTTCCAGTTTCTCCACAGCCTCACCAGCATTTATTGTTTGCTACCTAAAGCCTTTCTATAACTATCATCTTTTCTCAAAGTTCATAGTTTCTAGAGGCATGTTATTTAGGAAGTGGATGCTACTCCTGCTTCCAAACCTGTCTTAAACTGGGAGCGCCAGCAAACACTGTCCACCATGGGTAACCGTTATGGCATTTGACACCCCAGTGACACAAGGGTCAGCATCACAGCAACCCCAGGTTACCTCAGTACAGTAAATTGACAGAAGAGTGCTGTACCACTTAGAAGAATGTTCCTTCAAAATAAAATAACAACCAACTTTTAAATACAAAAGAAATTTTTGAATACAACTTTTAAATACCACGAGGTCCTGTCTAAACAAGAGGCTTAAATAAAAAACAACCAATATTATATGTTGTTGTTATGTACTGTCAGGTCTCCTGCAGCCTATAGCTATGTACAGCGGCTCTGAACCTTTCTAGGCCACTCGAGCTCCATTATTCAGATAGTCTATATTTGTATTAGTTTCTTCATTTGCTTTATTAAAATCTGTTCTTGAAAGTGATATATTAAAGTTTTCTGCAACAATTGGGTGTTCGTGTGGCTTTGCTTATACTTCTGTTAGAAACTTTGTATATTAGTGTAAAATTGTTCTGGTTCCTTAGTGAATGGAGTCATTTGTCATTAAGGATTGCCCCTCTTTATCCTAGAATTTAAAAGTCATGGGCCTTTTGATTTTTAGTCTGATTTTCACAGTTAATTATAGTTTTATTTTTGTTCTAATTCAAACCCATTGCTATCAGAACCAATTCATAGCTGACCCTCCAAGGCTCCACTTCCTAGGCTAAATTGCAAGGTGAGATTCCGTCTTTTTCCCTCAGAACTGCTGACAGACATAAACCTCCAGGCAGACTTGTCCTTTGGGTTAGCATTGCACCTCCCTTCCGATTATGTCATCTGAGCTCCCCTTATTTTTATTAGTTTTTACTTTCAGTCTTTCTGCAGTCATATCCTTTGTTGACCTATGTCCTATGTACAGTTGCTTTAGTTTTTAAACCAGTATAAAAAGTTTTGTCTTTTAATTAAAACATTGCTATGCATCCGAGGGCTGGACAGTATCTTAAGGATAATAGAAGAAGGATTGATGCCTTTGAGTTTTGGTGTTGAAGCAGAGTATTGAGCATACCAGGGACTTCCAAGAGAACAGACAGGTTTGTCCTGGAAAGGGTGAAACCAGGTTCCTCTCTGGAGGTGAAGATTTAGATGCTCCATCTCACGCACTTTGGACATGTGGTCATGAGGGTACCAGTCCTTGGAGAAGGACATCATGCTTGGAACAGTGGAGGGACAATGCAAGAGAAGACGACCCTGGATGAGATGGATTGATTCAGTGACTGAAGCAATGGAATTAGATCTGTTGGAGACAATGAGATTGGCTCAAGGTAGGGCAGGTTTCAGAGCTAGTGTACATAGGGTTACTGTGAGTCACAGATGACTCGATGGTACATAACAACAATGTTGTGTAATAGTCTCTCTTTCCATCTATGAATAGTACTGTTTGTCTTCTCTTTTCTGTATTCCCGTTTTTAATTTTTTGCCGCAGTTTTGGAGTGAATGCGAATTTTTTTTTATTCTTTCCAGTCACCACATTAGAGGATATCAAGTCTTTTAGTGATTACCTGAGAGAATGTAACATGCACCCTGGACTTATCACAACCTAAGTTTAATTATGTATAAATATAACACAGGGGAGCTGTGGTGACCTAATGGTAAGGAGCTGCACTACCAACTCAAAAGGTTTAAGGTTCAATCCACTTGCTGCTCCTTGGGAGGAAAGGGGGCAGTCACCTCCCATGCAATTTACTGCCTCTGAAAACCCACTGGAAGGTCAGCTGTGGGTCAGATCTAACAACAACATAAATATAAGGCAGATATTTATAGTGTAATAGAAAGTAGTCCTTTTCCCAAGTAATATAAAAATCTCTGAATTTCCATATTCCAGTGATTCCCCCTAATGTTAAATACTGTTGTTGGAGAGTATGCATAATGTGTATACATAGATACGCACGTAAATACACAGTGCGTTTTAATGTAATCATTAGCTGTTGTAAGTTTACCCACATTCTCCCCTCTTCTGTTACTCTCTATGCTTTCTGTGTCTGCAGGCTTGTAGCTGGGGCTACTTGATTTTAGCCAGAAAACACACATTAGTATTTCTGTACCATGACTTTCTTGGTGTTACTTCGCTTTTTCAGTATTTCGTAGCTTCATTGTCATTTTGAGGAATATTTTCCACTCAGTGTACAATTTTAGGCTCATAGATGTTTCTTTCTGGTCTTTCAGACATCATTCAGGAACTTCTGTTTTCTGCTGTTTCTGGTGAGAAATTAATGCCAATCTTACCTTCTTTTTTTCTTTGAAAAGAATCTGTCCTCTTAGAAAATTTTATTTCTCATAAATGTTTTTCAGGTACATATAAATGTTGTTTCTTTTGTGATAGTTTCTGATATCTCTGAAAAATCTCAGTCTAATCTTTTATCTCTTTGCATATACTGAGCAGTTATTTTAAGTCTCTGCCAGGTAACTCCACTGTTTGAAAGCAGAATACTTGGTGGTATAAGTATTTTTCTCTCTTCTGGTCTTAGCTTCCTGGTTGCCTGATTGTTTACTGGTTGGTGTGTTGGTTTTTACTGAATATCACACATTATTTGTGAAAACTTACAGAACTACATGGTTGCCTGTGGTGGAGAGGTCTTCCTGGAGAAAGAATTTTACCTGAGACTGAATGCTGCTTAGGACATTAAAATATGTGATTAATTTAATTCTATTTTGAGAACAAAATGACAGAAAAGAGAGAGAGAGAGTGAGTGTGTGTGTGTGTGTGTGTGTGTGTGTGTGTGTAATAATCTACATGACATTCCCCTAACACGGGATCTTTCAACCTTACTATTGTTGACATTTGAGCCAGATGCTTCTAGTACTTTGTCTCTCATTTGTGATAAGTAGCTATGTCTCTAAACCCCCAAATCAAACCCACCCCTGTAGAATCAGTTTTGACTCACAGTGACCCTCCAGCTGGTTTTCAAGGCTGAAAATCTTTAAGGGACGACTCTGCCTATCTTTCTCAAACTGTCAACCTTCTGCTTAGGAGCTGGGTACATTACACAGAAGCCAGGGCTGCTTCAGTATGTCTCTGGTCATTACCACATGTCTCCAAGGGGCAAAATCATCCTCAGGTGAAACTCACTCATCTCACACACATTTGAGTCCAGTTCTTGGCAGATCCCAGGAGTCCGTTTAGTATCCCAGTGATATTGTGAGACTGTTGGAAGAATTCCTGGGGCCTTGATTTTTACCAATTCAAAGCAGCTTGAACTTCCTCCTTCATCACCATTGCCTCTTAGTCACATGTTGTTTCATGAAATTCTTCTGTGCCAGCCAGTTCTTTTTGATATAGTGACTCTGACTACTCCTTCCATCTTTTAATACTTCCTGGATCATTTAATGTTCTGCCATAATGCCCTTAAGTATTGCAACTTGAGGCTTGAATTTGTTCTTTAGTTCCTTCAGCTTAAGGAATGCCCAGCAAGTTCGTCCCTTTTGATTTTCTAACTCCAGGTCTTTGCACATTTTATTATAATACTTTGCTTTGTCTTTCCGATCTGCCCTTTGAAATCTTCTCTTCAGCGCCTTCCTGATTTCCTCCCTTTGCTTTGGCTTCTCAGAGCTCTAGTGCAATATTCAGAGTCCCTTCCAACATCCATCTTGGTCTTTTCTTTTTCCTCTCATTAGTAATGACCTTTTGCATTCTTCATGGATCATATTCTTGATATCCTCCCACAGCTCTTCTCACCTCCATTTATTAGTGTTCAGACCTCAAACCAGTTCCTGAAGTGGTTTTTAATTTCTGGTGGGATAGACTCAAGGTCAAATTTGGGTTCTTATGGATTTAATTTTCTTGAGATTGGCTCAGTTTAGGGCAGGGTTCTGAGCTATGGTGCATAGGGTTGCTGTGAATCACAGTTGACTCAATGACACATAATAACAACATTTGAGATGGAGTTCTAAAAAAATTTTACACTCAAGTTATTTACTTAGAAAAGTAAGTGAGAGAAGATCTTCACCCTGAAACCCACAGCATCCCTTTTCAGCAGGAAGTAGCTAAGAGAATACGCCATCCCCTTTTCCTTATGACTCAGG